CATGGTTTGGCCCAGTTCCGTAGTGTAAACGTAGTATAAATGATCCCCCTATAACTGGCCACATATGCACATTTTATAGCCAATATTAATTAATACCTGAAAAGGTCTGTACACTGATTGTACCAGCAGGTCCCAGTAATTGTTGATAGGCTCTGACTGTGATGTTATAAGTTGTTAGTTCTCTCAATCCATTCAGTGTGATTGCATTATTACTACTTCCCTCCACCTGTACTGTCAGCACAGTGTCTGTGTCACTAGTGACAATGACTATATATCCATCAGCATCAAGTGCAGTCCAACTGACAGTGATAGTGGTAGCTGTCTTGAAGACCTCAGTAAGAGAAGAGGGAGCAGTTGCTGGTACTTATTAAAATACATTATTATTATTGGTAAAATTCTGATATGCATTACCTTTTATGGTTAAAGTACGCGTTCTATCAGCACCACTACCAGGATTATCCAGTACACACTGGTAAATTTGATCTCCAGTGGTTGATTGACTGATCAATCCGCTACTGACAGTCATTCCGTCCCATGTGATATTAACAGTATATCCTAATGTGCTCAGAGGCGTATTTAGGGGGGGCTGAAGGGGCTTGAGCACCCCCCTCAGGGCATAGGCGGCTGCAGGATTTGACTGCTAGTCGGGCATGGGTGTGGCACAGGAAATGGGTTGGGCGCGCGAAGCGCGCCGCGATTTTGGCCACACCCTCTTTTGCGCACCCTTTTTAGCGCAATTTTTTGGTAGCGAAGGTTATTGTAATAAAGTAGTGGGTGGTGTAGCTCCAACACTGACTTCTGTAGTGGTAATAGTACTAGTAGTAGTATTAGTAGAGGAAGTAGAAGAATAGGGTGATGGAGAATGAGCAACAATTGACTGTACATCAACTGTAGCTGTAAAAACTGTAGCTGTATCAACCACAAGAGTAGACTGAGACTCATGATCATCAACTGATTCAGCAAGAGACTGACCTAAAGTAAGAATATGAGATAATCTGTATTATTGACTTCTATACTGTACTTACTAGGTTCACTTTGTAAACTGTTGTTCCTTTTTAGCAGGCTTGTTCACAAAGGACATAGTGAAGCTAGTCCAGGCTTTTAGACATTGCAACTGACAAGAAAAGAACACTGAAATAGCACTAAATAATGAAATGACTATGCTTTCTAGTGTTGCTGTGGTGGCCCACTGTGATTGGCACCAAAGTCTTACCACCTCCTCCTTTATTTAGTCTCTCTTCATCACCTTGTTATCAGCCTGCCATTTATGCATTCATAATTATAAGATTTTCATAAAAAATTGAAATTATAATTGCAATAACTGTTATTAACTATTAATTAACCATAGAATAACTATTAATTATGGTGATGTCACACTTCCGGTCAGAATTTTTGGTCGGGCATTGCCCCTAAATGCCCGACCCTGCAGCCGCCTATGGACCTCCAAGTTCCTTGCACTCAGCTTAAGTTCCTTGCACTCAGCTTAACAAGTTAGGCCATTTGGGACAGTCTAAAGATTGTGGTACTTATATTGAGTAAAATATGCATATATATACTTGGAGATTTATAGTACCAGGCGTTTATTCAAGCCCGGCCTTTATTTGAACATTTACGGTATTACATAATTGTGACATCATGCTTTGTGGATACTGTTGTCCTGTTTTGCCTTTTCTACTATCCGACCACACATGTGGGATTTTCCATTATATGACACTCAGCAAATGAGTAGTGATACTGCTATCAATATGGTGGATCTGATTACCATAGTAAATAACAGTGCCATGTACTAGATATAAGCAAGTGTTATAGTTATTAGGAAAAATAAAGATAATTAATGTATAAGGATGAAGAGCAACTTTACTTTTACTGGTGAGTTCAGTCATAGATAATAGAGTAAATGAAAGGGATTGGAAATGGAAGTGTGGGCGTGGGCAAACCTCCATTCATTTGTATTGTTGCTAAGTAAACAGAGGAGGGTTGGGATTTTTTGACAGATTTTGGAGCAAAAAACTGGGATTTTTTTGCTTTATTCTTGAATAACTCCAAGAGAATACAATTCATGGAAACAAAACTCACACACAATATTAACCAATGTTAATGCTTTTTATTAATATTTTTTGTTCAGTAAATCAATGCATGCGTTAGTAGCCACATCACTCTTTAACTAGAAATACCATCTTTTCCCCCTCTGAAAGACTCATTTTGTTCTTGAGCTACGAATAAGTATAACCATTTTAAAGAGCTTGTAATCTCCTATGGAATGAGCGAACTTGCATATTGATACAATGAAGCTTGAGTGTTTTATGAACAATAAAGTGTTTCAAAAACAGGTGACTTTGTGTACCCGGCTCTAACTGGTTGCAAAATGGCTTTTTGGAGATAAAAACCTTGCTGCAGGTAGCTCTAAAAATTCTATGTGGAATGGGCTATATATCAAAAGCAAGTGCTATCCTGGAGGAGCACAAATTTCCTTTGAAATCCTGCCAGAGCAACTTCACCAATGGAGGAGATGGGAAATCAATCAAAACACTGATGGCTGTCTTCTTCTTGAAATTTCTTGCCTCCTCGTATGAGGAGAGTACCACCATAGTGGAGGAAATTTAGGATAAAGTTAAGGTTATAAATTTAAGTAGGTTGCCCGGTGGGCTCTGAGGTCAGATATGTAGAGCAGGATATGAACCTGGTCTGAGGGGTGACAGCATTGAGGAGATAGCCCAATGAGCCTGTCAAAGAGAGTATTTACGGTATCCCTATCAGTGTTAATTAGGGAAAGCCACCGAGCTCGTATTGGACTATATGCAGTGCACTCTATCAGAAAGTGAAATGATGACTCTATGAAGTCTGTAGCACACAGTGAGCATAGGGAGGAGGTGGAAGATTGAATCCTATTATGGAACATATAGGTGTGTCCATTAAGATCTGAACAGTGTAGTAGTAAATGGAGTCTATAACTAAGACTGTAGGACAGAGAAGGAGCATGTTTAAGTGACAATATAGTGGGCAGTGGTTTTAGCTGGGGTGAGAGTAGGGGGAAATCTAACCTGGAGATCTCAGACAGGCGCGAAGAGGGAGAGGAGTTAGCCAAGTCTTGCCATGCAAAGTACAGAGAGGCCTTGACCAGACACTTCCAGGGTCTCATACTCTGTAAGTTAGAATCAGAAATGAGACACCGGAGGCCTGGTAGGTCAAAGGAGTGTAGATCAGCCATAATCACTGTTAGTAAGGGAGAGGGAGAATGTGAGTGATGCTGGTGGTGGTAAATTAATATTTGTCTAGCAGGAGCTGAGGTGGGCAAGCACAATATACTCATAAGAAAGCATAATCTGCATTTTGATAACAGGAACTCTACAGGAAGGGTGCCTAGTGAATAAATGAATACCAATAATAGGTGCACGAGGGGGAAGACCGAGAATGGTCACATGGTAACCCAACCCGCATTTCCTGTTGCTACGCCCCGTTGCCAATCCCTTTCATTTACTCTATTATCTATGGTTCAGTGATCCAGCAGTAGCAGCAGTTCTTATTGTTGAGATGATACTAGCTCTGATAGCTAATGGTATGGTACTATCTATCACACTCTGTCCTAGGGGTCTATACATGTATATGAACTGTTTCACTTTTACATACTCTCTCTCTCTTTGTAATAGTAAATGATACATGTATTACCACCACTTGTTGAGTGTTCTGATTCGTCAATTGAATACATGTACATGTACATGAGTAAATATCTGCTGTTACATAGTTTGTTCTCATGTCACGCCAATAACCAAACAAACTAGCTACTAAGTGTACTGCATTTTACATTGGAGACAGTCAGACAGATGTGTAATGCACATGTAGTAAATTTTTGAGTAATTATTACATAATTTGTGTTTCATGATTATTAAGTATAGGTTATACACCGAGGTAGAGGTTTCTATGGTACTGTATTTCCTCGTGGAAACGCCTACTCCCTATAAACGCCCATGCCTGTATAAACGCCTAGAGACAGCACATAACTTTGACAATAAACGCCCATGCTTGTTTAGACGCCCATTCTTGATTAAAAGCCTATACCACACCCACCTACCCCATCCTCGTGGTACATGTACCTTACGTAGTTTAGTAGTTTACATTCTACAATGGCAGCTGCAGCTGAGAAGGCTAAAGAAACTCAGAAGTTTTGATGTCAGTTTTAAACTACGCGTTGTGTCTATTGAAACATGGTGGTAAGGATTATTTTTGGGTTATAAACGCCCACCTCGTATAAACGCCTACTTCATTTAAACACCTAGCAAACAGGTCTCTATAAGAAATAAACGCCTAGGCGTTTCCACGAGGAAATACGGTATTTATTAACCGAGCGACGCAGTCGCAAGGTTAATAAATACCATAGAAACCAATACCGAGGTGTATAACCAACTTCTACCATGACACTTGAAAAACAACTACCAGCTGCTGATAATAAGACCACAGTTGACATACATACAACTAGGGACATGCACATTATTCTTTTTTTCAACCCTATAATTCTATTCTTCAATTCTCTTCCTCAATCCCATTATTCTCTCCTTTTTGGCCCATTATTCCCATTATTATGCTCTGATAATACCAAAAATTCATTTTGATTATTGATATCATCATTCATGGTTATATTGTAACACTACTGATGACTCAATGTAATCCTTAAGTGAGTTACTTTGAGTGTCCTTAAATCTGTTCAGTATTATTTCCAGTGGAGTTACTCATTGCTGTTGCTGTAAAGTGCTGTTAAATTGTACTGTACTGTTTGCTGACACATGCTCATGCAGTATTAAAAGGGTTAAATATTGATCACATGATCCAGGCAGGCAAATTTTAACCCATTATTCTTTCTCTAAATTTCACACCCATTATTCCAAAAGAAATTCCCGAATAATGTGCGTGTCCCTACATACAACATATCTAACAGGCTAGGCAGTAAAGAATCAACCAAACTTGACAAATGGACTAATAAGAGCATAAGCGTAGAGTACCAAACTGCCAATCAATTAATTATTTAACGAGATAGGTTTATATTTTTACGAGCTAGGTTAATATGAAAAATAATTGACCTCCAATACTGCAATCTGATTGGTCAATCGCAAGGTGGCATGGTAGAAGTATAGGTTATACACCGAGGTCGAGGTTTCTATGGGATTTATTGACCGAGGGACGCAGTCCCGAGGTCAATAAATGCCATAGAAACCGAGACCGAGGTGTATAACCGTGTTCTACCATGCGTCCAATCAGATTAGATGCATTTCTTGTAGCTAGGATACACAAAAAGTATAAAAATCCTTACCATTAGCAACCAATTCATTTTAAGTCACGCACTAGAATGGAAAAGCAACTAAAGTCTATTCAGTTTCACCTGACCTATTGATTTTTTGTTATAACTTTTGATAAACATGAAATTTAGAAATTTTGTTTGCGCCATTAGAATCGCTAGGTCCTTCCCGTCCTTTAGATAAAAAGATCGGGTCAAAATGATAAGGCCTTAGCCTTTTTTGGATGTCTCTGTATAAACCCAATGACATACCTTTGACCGCAACTATGCAGCTAGAACAGCCAGAATAAATTCAGCTGCTACTTATCTGTATCCCTTCAGCGCAACAAAAACAATTCCAAAACCACAAATACGTAAAGAATGCGGATGTGACGTAGTTATTTATTAATTGAAAAAAGCCAGGGGTCAGGTGAAAGTGAATAGACTTTAGGTAGACATGCTCGTCTGTTCTCAAAAGATGCGACTAACACAGCCGCCATTGATAGCTCTGGAAACGCTTATCTCATCATTTTATGACTGCCCCGCCTACTTCATTTGTGCTATATACCATCTTGTTTCGCAACGGACAAGGATTTAAAGATGCACAACAGCACTGTGCGCCATGCAGAACTAAAAAAGCAATATAATGGGTAGAAAATATTCTGAATGACTGGTGCAAGGAAAGAATGAAAGATTTGGAGAAGCTCCAACCAGGCCACTCTTCTTAATGGAGAAATACTGTTTAAAATGTTTGCTGCAGCAACTGGGGAATCGATGGTTACAAACAAACCACTCACTTCGCGGCATGACTGCTGCTATTAGACTATTTCAAGCTGGTGTTGATGAACAATTAATCATGAAAAGAACAGGTCACAGAAGCACGGATGGTGTACGAATTTATAAGCACATTTCAGATCAACAAAATGCCGGAAGATGTTTCCTCAATAATATTATTGTTACAAACAAAAACAGCAGTAGCTAGTGACGGTATACCGATTCACCTCATCCTCCAAAAGCACAAAACATATCTCTAGATGAAGACAGACACTTCAGCTTTAATAACTGCACAAACATACACATAACAAATTCAAAAATAACATTACTATTATTGCTGTCATTATTTTTATTCCTAAAATTTCCCAAACTTTGGCAGAAGTATCTAAATAATTTCCCTGAGGTTTCTAAATATTTTCCCGGGGTATTATAAGTGATTTAGGCACCTCATATAATGCAATCTGATTGGTCAATTCAAAACAAGCATGGTAGAATTTGTGGATAGGCACTGTTTTGTCCATTGAGTAATGTACTGTGAATCCGGTAAAGGTAGTCCTGTACATTGTACATGTGTGTGCTTGTGTATTGGTAGTATTGCAAAGTGTTAGCTATTATTCCACATATTTTGATACAAATTGATTGATGTGTACTATTGTCTATATAAAGTATGGTTGGAAACTACATGTACATGTAAGTCACTTAAAATTAAATTTTCGGTTGGCAATGGAAGGCAACTTTACTTTTACTGGTGAGTTCAGTGGTCCAGCAGTAGCAGCAGTTCTTACTGTTGAGATGATACTAGCTCTGATAGCTAATGGTGTGGTACTATCTGTCACACTTTATCAAAGGAAGTCCTGGAAACAACCATCAACAATATTCTTCACTTCTCTCATATTGGCACATCTTGTATTGAATTTACTGTACCTTCCTTTCACTATCATTGCATTAGCTGCTGGTCAGTGGATCTTTAGTAGCACAGATGAGGAGAAGAGAGGTTTCTGTTCATTTAATGCCTGTACACTTTTGTACAGTAGTTCTGTTATCTCAATGACACTAGCTATTATATCATTTGATTGGTTTCTCTTTATTGTTAAACCACATCTTCACAAGCGGTTCATGAGACCCTGGGTAGCACTGACCCTCACCATTGCTATATGGATACTGTCTGCTGTATTAGGTGCTGGGCCATTCTATGACATTGGACACTACAGCTATGATGATGAATCAGGTTTTGTGCTCTAATTGGTTTTGATTTTGCAGCCTTTGTTGTAATTCTTATCATAATGTGTCTTGTTGTTGGAATTATCATTGTCACTTCTCTTTGGACCTTTTGTTTCACTAGAAGCTACTTCAAAGCTCAGTCAGTGATAGCAGGAGAGAGTGTGTATGCCTCAAAAAAGAAGAGACTCATTGAAAAATTTGGAAGCATGCTACTCATCTATGGGACATCTTATTTATTTGTAGCCTTAGATTTCCTTCTGCAGTTCTACTTATTGTTCTACCATATGAGCTTTTCTAGTTACAATAATCAATCCTCTTATCCAGTCATACTTCAAGCCTGAAATCAAGAGTGTTCTAGTCTCACGCTGTCCTCTTCTCTTTACTTGTGTTTGCTGTTCACTTATGTGTATATACATGCTGTTTGCTGATGTCAATTATTTACAATACATGATTAATTTGCTGTAGTATATGACTATTATGTAATTTTGTTTAATTTTTGTTATTATTTGCTGTGTGTGTGTAACTTATTCCTTTGTATCATTTTCATTGTTATTTTGAGATTGGTCTACTGCTATTAGTACCTTTATAAAGGATATACCTGTTGCTATAAATCTTGTATACAGTCCTTACTTGCTTTACATACATTTGCAAAGAGAACTTGTGACAATTTTGAGTGCTTGTCTCTGAAATGGAAGGCAACTTTAATTTTACTGGTGAGTTCAGTGGTCCAGCAGTAGCAGCAGTTCTTACTGTTGAGATGATACTAGCTCTGATAGCTAATGGTGTGGTACTATCTGTCACAATTTATCAAAGGAAGTCCTGGAAACAATCATCAACAATATTCTTCACTTCTCTCATATTGGCACATCTTGTACTGAATCTGCTGTACCTTCCTTTCACTATCATTGCATTAGCTGCTGGTGAGTGGATCTTTGGTAGTACAAATGAGGAGAAGAGAGGGACATGTACCTTTGCTGCATGGATGAACTGGTCTGTATGTTCTGTATTCTCATTCACACTAGCTGCTATATCATTTGATCGGTTTCTCTTTATCGTCAAACCACTTCTTTACAAGCGGTTCATGAGACCCTGGGTAGCACTGACCCTCACCATTGCTATATGGATACTTTGTGCTGTCTTAGCTACCTTGCCATTCATTGATATTGGACACTACAGCTATAGTGATGAATTAGGTTGACCTTGCAGCCTTTGTTGTAATGCTTGTCTCAATCTCCCTCATTGTTGGAACAATATTCATCACTTCTCTTTGGACCTTTTGTTTCACTAGAAGCTACTTCAAAGCTCAGTCAGTGATAGCAGGAGAGAGTGTGTATGCCTCAAAAAAGAAGATCCTCTTTGGAATATTTGGAAGCATGTTACTAGTCTATGGAACAGCTTATTCAATGACAACTTTAGGCTTCCTTCTGCAGATCTTCATTTTTCTACCAAAGTTTTATGTGACAAGCCATATTGTATTTTGCTTTGTTACAGTAGCCAGTCCTATTATTCAATCATACTTCAGGCCTGATAGTCTCACGCTGTCCTCTTCTCTTTACTTGTGTTTGCTGTTCATGTGTACATGCTGTTTGCTGATGTCAAGTAGTAACTTTTATTTATATAATTTTATTTTGTATTCAGTTATTATGTTATCTTGTTATTGCTGTTTCTGTTTATTAAATCGTTACTTGTTGTGACATCATTAAAGGGCTTGCTTTGTTCATGTGGCTTCACCAGTATAATATAGGGTTGGGTTAACAATTGGTATGGCAGTGCTAACTTATCCGCATTACTTGTTGTATCTAGTCAGTAGTTATTGTAGACTTATGGTGCTATAATGTGTGCTTTAGTGCTAAATGCCACTGATGTGTTAGTATTGCATTTATAAAGTCCACAGTGGTTAATTCAATACTCCAGACACACCTGCATATGCCTGTAAGGGAATGTCTTCTTTTAATTAATTACTGTAATAAATATGCTTATTATTGTATGTTGCATATATTTTGTACTGTTGACTAGTATAACTAGGACAACGTGTTTGTATAATTCTAGTTACTTTTGAGTGTACTGGTATGGTGTTACTAAGCGTTGGTCTCTTTGGAGCTGCTTTTACCAGTTCTTTTAAGAACTACTGTCTCGCCGTATCTTGGGACTTCCCACCCATTCTAGTTAGCTTTTATTTACTTGAGTGTGGACAAGTTGCTCTTGGTGAATGGCTTCACACTGTAGCTGCTAAAGAACAGATGAATAGTTGAACACTAAACATGTGGTCTTATTGTCATAACAGCGCTCTAACAGTGCTTGTGTGGTGTGTGCTGTTTTTCTGATCTAGTGTATTCATTGACACACATCCTAGCCTAAGTGACATGTAGCCAAAAATTTTTCAAATATACTTTTGCCAATTACTACGAATTCAGTAGGCAATTTGCCAAATTTTTCCCCCTAAATAACCTGCTACATGTACATGTGCTTGTGTGTATATTTAGATTAACTTGAGTCACACACTTCATTTAGTGCATTTACATGTACAATTTATGGTAATACATGTAGCATCTTTTTATTTATCTTTTCTTTCTCACTCTCCTCTTCTACTAATAGTTATCAATATGACTAGAAGTTAGAGGAAGCTCAGAAGAACATTCTCTGGACTCACACTACTGCTGTTAGCACAAGAATGCTCTACAAACTTGGACAGCAAGTGGGTGTGGTTCATTATCATGAATAATTAATGATTTCATGGGCTACTAGTAAAAGCTGATTATATTAATTTTCATGGTTTATCAGCTAACGATGAGTAGCCATAGCAACCACTTTATATTATAACAGCAGGTATGACTTTTATCACCTACTGTGTCGGAATAAAGTGACAAATATTTTTTTGACATGTGACTAATTTTACTTATATTTTTTCTCGAGTTGTACAAATTTTTATCTTTATCCATTCAATTTTGTAGGAGTTCACTCCTGTCAAATATTTTTCAATTGATTGTGTTTTTCGTAATAAGACACTTGACGCAACTCACCTGGCCAAGTTTCATCTGATAGAGGGTGTGGTCGCTGATTATAATTTAACCCTCGGGGACCTCATGGGAGTCCTGTATGCTTTCTTTAGTAAAATCGGTAAGTATTGATAATACATTTGCACGTAAATACTAAATGTGCATGTACATGTACATGAACATGTATAACCACTTGTTGAGCATTCTGATTGTTCAATTGAAATGCGGTATGATATACAGACTGTACATGTACATGTACGTGTATACCATATAGCTGAAAAATTTAAGGGGAATTAAATGTGGCAAATTTGGCATTTTGATAGCCATTCACCCAAATAGTGTTCTCCCATTTTGAGCCATTATGCGCATGCTCAATGGCACATGGCCACAAATTTTCCATATTAAAATTTCCAAATCACCAAAATTTAGCAATTCACCAAAGTTAACTTCCTCCAAAATTTCCCACTATACAGTACATGAGTAACCATCTGTTGTTACATGTTATTAACATGTGTTTTCATGCCACGCCAATGACCAAACAAGGTAGCTACTAATTACTTTACTACACTTTACATGGGGACAGATGTGTGATATATGTAGTAAATTTTTTTGGTATCATTAATTTCTTGTTGTTTATTAATTTGTTATTTATTGGGGCAACCTTCAGTAAGCCCCACTGTAGCAAAAGTCTTCTATATATATGTATGTATGTATGTACGTCTCCAGTCACGCCTATCTATTGTCACACCTCTTTGTCCACCACTATCTATTTATTGGTCATTGATCTAATGTGGTAGGAGTATTGCAATGAAATATTGTAAAACACATGTGAACTCCAAAGCAAGAAGAAAGCTTGAAGCTCAACGTCCACAGCCTAACTTGAATGAAAAGGATACTCTTCTTCATGATCAGATGGTTATGATGAGCGTTCCAGACTCAATTTTTAACTAGAAAAGCAGCCTAACTAGCAGCAGAGTCAGCGCATAGCCACAACTGACTCAAGCTTACCCCAATAATGTATTGTAGTCAGGTAGCTATTTATTAATTTTTGGATGGGCACTGTTTGGTCCATTAATTATACAAATTGATTTTGGCAAAGAATGAATGACCTGCACTATTGTCTAAATAAAGTGTGGTTAGAAACTAAGTTGCCTAAAACTAAATATCCAGTTAGCAATGGAAGGCAATTTTTCTTATACTGGTGATTTCAACACTCCAGCAGTAGCAGCAGTTCTTACTGTTGAGATGATACTAGCTCTGATAGCTAATGGTGTGGTACTATCTATCACACTCTATCAAAGGAAGTCCTGGAAACAATCATCAACAATATTCTTCACTTCTCTCATACTGGCGACTCTCGTAATTGTTGTGCTCCAACAGTAATTGTTTACTGTTGAGACACTAGTTTTTGTATACTTTAAGTTCTCTTAGTATTAATCTATTGATTTTTGTTTGTCATGTTGCTATTTCTGTTTCTTTACTGATTACATAATTGTGAGATCATGCCTTTGACACTGTAGTTCCATTTTGCCTTTTCCTGCTATCAAATATGGCTAATCTTTTATCATAGTAAATATTAGTTCCTTATAATAGAGTAACACAAGTTATAAGCAAGTATTATAGTTATTAGGAGAAATTAGATACTGTAGTTATGGAAAACAACTTCACCTTTACTGGTGAGTTCAGTGTTCCAGTAGTAGCAGCAGTTCTTACTGTTGAGATGATAAGTATTGAGATATAAGATGATAAGATGATGAGATATAAGTATGATAACTACGTGTACATGTACATGCACATAGTAAAAGCAATATATAACCATTTGTTGAGCATTCTGATTGGTCAATTGAAATGTGGTATGAACATTACAATGTATATACATGTATACATGAGTAAACATCTGTTACTACATGTTATTAACGTGTGTTCTCATTAATGCGTTGTTCCTTTAATATCTCAGGCATGACATCAGTTTTTTCAGTTTCTTTGTGATGCTACCTCGATGTCTTGGGAATTATCTGTTATAAACAACTTCATATCTTCAATCCCATTTTCCTGCTCATTCAAATACTTGATCTTAAACCGTGGATCGAGAAACGTTGCAGTCTTAAGTCTTAACTATTACCTCGATATCTTCCCCCATATTACTATTACGTTCATTGAGATTATCCTTGATACACTTCTTAATATCATGTTTTAGGTATGTATCTGTTGACTCTTCTTTTAGAAATTTGTTGTCAATGAGGTGTAGCAAAGGAATGACTGCTGATACAGTAACATATGAGTCAGCTGATAGAATATCAGTGAGGCTTGAAAGAGGAGAAAGAGCTGTGTGTATTGCCTGAAGAACGTCAATGTCTTTCCATGTTGGCACTAAGTGAGATGTTTTCCGATCTGAACTCAAAGTTCTCCGAATAGCTTCCTCTTGTTCAAGAATCCTATCAACCATTTAGCCATTGAACCCCACCTAGTTGTGTAATCCTATATTTAATGAATTAAAATTATTATACATCACTTACTGAAATTAAAGCTCGCTCCTTTAGTTTAAGATTGATCTGTGCCTTGGTCAATTCTCTCTTCCTTTTCCAGGTGTTGGATATTGAACTAACAATTTTACGATGATACCAAGAGCACACACACATCTCCTGTCATCTTTGAGAGCCTTGGTGATAGCAAGATGTAAGTTATGTCTGAAACTCGATAGTCTTGACCAATTTAAATCTGCAGCAGCCTTCACAATGTTACTACCATTGTCAGTAGTAAGACAAACTTGATTAGAAGCATCAAGATCCCAACATAGTGTAACTGTCATAGCCTCTCCAAGATTTTCAGCATTATGATCCTTTGGTAGAAATTGTGTCTGAAGGCATCTATTGCTCAATTTCCATTCTTCACTTATGTAGTGTACAGTATAGCTCATTGTATGGCGTCATACCTCTGCTTGACCATAGATCACAGGTAGCCGAAAAGAACTTCACACCAGATAGCTCTTGCTTTACTCTTTCTTTAACAGAGGTATAAAGCTTAGATAAGGCTGTCTGAGAGAAGTATTTTCTACTTGGAAGTTGGTCATCTAGCATCAAATTTCTTTAGCAACTTCTTAAATCCTGGTTTCTCTACAGTTAAAATTGGAGCAGCTTCTTTACCAATGTAGTAGGTGACTGCATCAGTTAGCTCAATCCACTTTCTCCCTTTCTTAGTGTACTCCTGAGACTTCTCCATCGAGGCTTGCAATGTGAGTTGAATAACTGGGGAAATTCTTCCACTTGTATTGCTGCTATTGGTACCACCACTGGACTTCCTTTTGAGAGCATCTTGAAGCTCAGAGTGAATCCTGCTGTGGTTTACTCGAAGATGAGTAATAAGGTTGGATGTGTTTTCTTGTTTTGCTACTACTTGACGAAAGCAAGAGCGACATACCGCTCGCCCATCATCGATTGGCTTGCTTTGCTCATCCTTCCTCAAGCCAAATCAGTCCCAGACAAGAGACTTTGTCCTGAGTGTGTTAAAAGCAACTAGTGTGTTAGTATTCTCATTCTCTGTTTCTTCTTCTGGTTGACTAGCCATTTCTTTTTACTCGAGTGACCACATCCAGGAATACCATATCAAGTTGAAATTGAACCGCGGTACAACTATAATATCGTTATACCGCCCAGGCCTATTTATAGTACATGTTTAATTTGCATTAGTATGTAGAGTATTATGTAATGTTATTTTAATTTTGTTATTAATTTCTCTGTGTATGTAACTTAATCCCTTATATAATTTGCATTGTTTATTTTGAGATTGGTCTAGTGCTACATAACTGTTGCTATAAGTCTTGTTTATAGTCCTTAGTTGCTTATATACTTTTGCAAAGAGAATTTGTAACAATTTTTGTGCTTGTCTTTGAAATGGAAGGCAACTTTACTTTTACTGGTAAGTTCAGTGGTCAAGCAGTAGCAGCAGTTTTTACTGTTGAGATGATACTAGCTCTGATAGCTAATGGTGTGGTACTATCTATCACACTCTATCAAAAGAAGTCCTGGAAACAATCATCAACAATATTCTTCACTTCTCTCATACTGGCACATCTTGTATTGAATCTTCTGCACCTTCCTTTTGCTGTTATTGCATTAGCTGCTGGTGAGTGGATTTTTGGTAGTACAGATGAAGAGAAGAGAGGAACATGTACCTTTGCTTCTTACTTATACTGGTACATAGTAGATGTTATCTCAATGACACTAGCTGCTATATCATTTGATCGGTTTCTCTTTATTGTCAAGCCACATCTTCACAAGTGGTTCATGAGACCCTGGGTAGCACTGACCCTCACCATTGCTATATGGATACTGTGTGCTGTGTTAGGTACCTTGCCATTCATTAATATTGGACACTACAGCTATGATGTTGAATTAGGATTTTGTAGTATAGTTGGTGTTGATATTGCAGCCTTTGTTCTAATTCTTGTTATAATCTTCCTTGTTGTTGGAACAATATTTGTCACTTCTCTTTGGACCTTTTGTGTCACTAAAAGCTACTTCAAAGATCAGTCAGTGATAGCAGGAGAGAGTGTGTATGCCTCAAAAAAGAAGAGACTTTTTGGAATATTTGGAAGCATGTTAATTGTCTATGGAACAGCTTATTTAATAGCAGCTTTAGGCTTCCTTCTGCAGATCTTCATTTTTTTACCATATGAGTTTTATGTGACAAACTACATTGTTTTTTGCTTTGTTACAATAGCCAGTCCTATTATCCAGTCATACTTCAGGCCTGAGATCAAGAGTGTTCTAGTCTCACGCTGTCCTCTTCTCTTTACTTGTGTTTGCTGTTCATGTGTACATTCTATTTACTGATGTTAATTATTTATAGTACACGTTTTATTTGCTGTAGTATGTTGAGTATTATGTAATTTTGTTTAATTTTTGTTATGACTTCCTCTGTGTGTGTGTGTAACTTATTCCTTTATATCATTTTCATTGTTATTTTGAGATTGGTCTAGTGCTATTAGTACCTTTATAAAGGATATAGCTGTTGCTATAAGGCTTATATAGTCCTTACTTGCTTGATATACTTATGCAAGGAGAATTTGTCACAATTTTGGGTGCTTTTCTCTTAAATGGAAGGCAACTTTACTTTTACTGGTGAGTTCAGTGGTCCAGCAGTAGCAGCAGTTCTTACTGTTGAGATGATACTAGCTCTGATAGCTAATGGTGTGGTACTATCTATCACACTCTATCAAAGGAAGTCCTTGAAACAATCATCAACAATATTCTTCACTTCTCTCATACTTGCAAATCTTGTATTGAATCTACTGTGCCTTCCTTTTAATATCATTGCATTAGCTGCTGGTGAGTGGATCTTTGGTAGTACAGATGAGGAGAAGACAGCAACATGTATTTTTGCTGCTTTTGTATATTCATATACCATACCTGTCATATTTAATACACTAGCTGCTATATCATTTGATCGGTTTCTCTTTATTGTCAAACCACATCTTCACAAGCGGTTCATGAGACCCTGGGTAGCACTGACCCTTACCATTGCCATATGGATACTGTCTGCTGTATATAGTTTTGCTCCATTCTATGGGTTAAATGAATATGTTTATAATGAACAGTACCTTTTATGTTACCAGCATTCTAATAGCATTATTAGTGTCATTATGTTTATTGTTTTCCTTCCGTGTGTTACAACTGCAATCATTGTGACATCATTATGGACCTTTTGTTTTGCTAGGAGCTTTTTGAAGGATCAGTCAGTGATAGCAGGAGAGAGTGTGTATGCCTCAAAAAAGAAGAGACTTTTTGGAATATTTGGAAGCATGTTACTCATTTATGGGATATGTGTTGTACCTAGTCTTTTATTACTTGCTTTCCAGCAATTTATTGATGTACCTCCTGAACTTTTTATTTGTATCAGGGTAGGTTTCTTTTTTATCACAATAGCCAGTCCTATTATCCAGTCATACTTCAGGCCTGAGATTAAGAGTGCTCTTGCTTCATGCTGTCCTCTTCTCTTTTATTGTGTATGCTGTTAGTTCATTCATTAATGTGTGGTTGTAACAATTGATGTTGAACATTAGTTTTGTATACTTTAGGTTCTCTTAGTTATTAATTTATGTTTAATTGTTGTTTTTCATTTTGCTATTTGTTTACATTACATAATCATGGCATCATGCTTTTAATAGCCATTTTGCCTTTTCCATTATGTCTGACTAAGACCACACATATATGACCTTTTGAGACGTTTTGTTATTGATTGGATTACATTCAGCAAATTATAGTATGCACCTGCTATCATAGTAAATAATAGTGCCTTGTATTAGAGTAGTGCAAGATATAAGCAAGTATTATAGTTATTAGGAGAAATAAGGTATACTGTAGTGTTGGAAAGCAACGTTACTTTTACTGGTAAGTTCAGTGGTCCAGCAGTAGCAGCAGTTCTTACTGTTGAGATGATAAGTATTGTACATTACAATACTACATTTACATCTACATACAGATGTATAGTATAATCTATGTATAACCACTTTTTGAGCGTTTTTTTTTGTCAATTGAAATGCAATATGATGCATGTACATGTATACATGAGTAAACATCTGCTGTTACTGTACATGTTATTAATGTGTGTTCTCATGCCACACCAATAACCAAGCACAATAGTTACTAATTAGTTTACTGTACTTTACATAGTGACAGATGTGTGATGTAGTTATCAATTATTAATTATCATGACTGTTTGGTTCGTTCAACTTCGTTGAGTATCGTAGGGTGCTTTTTTGATTGCTATAGACTTTGAGTTCCTTTTTTAGTGAAAGTAATTTTTGTGAATCATGACCGCCTAATGCTGTGTTTACACTACACAAGTGGGCCAAACCGTGCTTAACCAGGCTGAACTGGCCCAGCTCACTTCAGCTCAGTTTGGTTACTGTTAATGCTATCAAATGAAACTGTACCGGCCCACTTTAAACAGGGCTGGCTCAGTTAAAGAAGCTAGTGTACACCTTTTTAACTGACACAATTGCTCTCTAAGGTACATGATTTTACAAAGGACCAGCAGAGTTTTGGAAAAAAGCCAAAGAACATCAATTCTAGTATTGCCCGAAAATAGCTGAAAATAGTCTAAAAGACCATCTTTACTATAAAAATGCACACGTAAAACATGCCATCACACTCCCTTGCAATTAATTATTATTATTCGAGGCCACAATATTTGCTTTTTCAGGAAAGATTTACGAAATCTGCAAAATTTATAACCCTCAAAAAAGGTGCCCTACATACAGTGATGGACAATGACAAGTAGTCCTACATGTACATGTACATGCGTGTGTTTGTGTATTGGTAGTATTTCAAAGTGTTAGCATGATTTGATTACTATAGCCGGGCTAGCCCTGTAGTGGTTCCCTGGCAGAAGTATTCAATGCACAAAGCACACTGAAAAATTTTGCACAACTAATTAACTATCCATGATGGGTGTTGTCAATTTGAATTAATTAATGATGTTAAAATAATGAAAGATAATATTATTGTATGGTTCCATCATAGGTTCAATAAATTTCAAGTCAGTCACGACAATAATGATTCTTCTCAATCTTCTGTTGTTATCCTTAGCATTAGCAGCAAATCTGTTTAGAACTTCATTGAGGACAACTGAGCAGATAGGTCTCTTTCAATAGATGTGATCAACCAACCTCTGTTCTGTCATTGTTCTACGAAGCCATGCTTGATTTGTTTTAAGAGAACAGGATCACTCACATAATGCAGAGCTTACAGCTATGGTAATTATAGTAAGTATGATTTCCAATAACTTGACTAATTTAGGAAATGTATTTTTAGGGGTGATAGCTCCAAAAAGATACTCCTCAAACTTCTACCAGTTGTTGTTATGGCATGTTTGGCCGAAAAACACTTTTCAAAAATCATATCCTTATTGAGATTGTAGCTATGAATAATTGGGTGAAGTTTTTCAGGATCTAAAAAGCTGGATAACTGAGAGTTGCAGTGCTGATTAGAGCATAGTATATCAAGATTGGGACCTGAGAACTGTTTGTTCAGCTCATAAAGTATGCAGTCAATTACTGGAATGTAAATAGATGTTTTGAGCTACTCATAAGTGCTGCTCTTTTCCCTCATTCCAATAGTTTTCATTAATATGTCATCTTGAAGTCAATGTGGAATCACTCTTGTACGTCCATGACCATCAGCAAAGGTGATGCCAATGTCATGTAGCTCAGCAATATACTCTTTGTAAGCAAAGCATGGTGACAGATATGAAGTACCTAATCTGAGGTTTTGGAATGGATGATGACTATGATAATCCTCTTTAAGCTCCTGCTTTCACTGCTGCGAAGAAAACTCGAAAAGATGCTGTGACTGAAGCTATAACTGGAGCAGCAATGGCGGTTACTCGTCCAATTAATGGTAGCAGCAGTACAACATCAATCATCAATGATGAATCATTCTAATGTGTCTCTCTGTAAAATATTTGATGTGAGGTTGACAATTTTTGAACCATTACAAATAATTCAACAAATTCGTAATGATATTTATAATGACAATGAATATTTAGAGCAAAGGAGATCATTTTGTCATCTTTGAGAATATGAACATAAGGTTTATACTGCTATACATGGTAACTTCATTGTGTTGCGTATTAATCAGTTATTATACGTATATACCTGTAATTTTAGTGGTTATTATTATTGTGTTAATTTTCATTACTGATATTGTGTATGTTTATTAACAATTAATTATTACTGTACTGCACAGTATGTATTAGTTTTCAGTTTTTTGTGAAAATAGAGAAGAGAGGTTTTCAAAAATTATTTGTTAAAGAGAATTTTAATTTTCAAGTGTCGATTAATGCAGCTGTGCCACATTGTCTAATCAAACCAAGGAACTTACAACATGTAGATCTATTGTGGAGTGTGTTGACAATAATATTGGTATGGAGTTGGCTATATATTCATCCAATGTACACAGTGCATGATTACTAATTGATATAAATATAATTATTTTAAGGTCACAATTATTTTGTAATGATTGCAGTGTAGCTTTTACTTTTGAAAAGGCCTCAGGCTCTTCAACTGGATTGAAGTCAGGAGGATAAGGTAGAAGATAGATTAGTAATGAACCAACTTTGTGTATGATTTCAGTCACTTATATGTCCGTTAAGTGAGGTAATAAAAATTTATTTCTTCTGCTGTCACTTCCAGTGTCATTGACAAAAATTAACTAACTGGTATCAGTGTAAAACATTGACATGTTACTGATAAATTTTGTTCTGAGGAATTCATCCAATTGTATAGCAACATGGCCAATTTTGTGTCATGTAAAACTACAATGATGTAAAACCATGCATATGCTCGACAGGTAGACATCAAGGAGAACAATATCAATCAATTGATTTTTGATTTCACGTAAGTAAATATAACCACGCAGGGTTATCCACTACTAAATTTAAAAGTAGTACCTGAGCTGAGGCAGTAAGTTTTCTGCTTGCCCTGTTTTTAGGATAAGGCTTTTTGACCACCACAACGGTCCTCTGGAAACAAAGTGCTGTTCGATGAACTATGGATAATTGGTAGCCTTGTCATAACAGGTTTTTATCAACCTGTCCATGTAAATATGTCACCCGGAGAGCTCTCACCATTTGTACTGTACACCCAAACACTGAATTTATTATTAAAATAATGTGCATTTACGTGCATACACACATACAATAAACATTGATTGATTCGTAAGTCATGCATCATGATGTCAGCTCACTTCTTACCCTAGCTCCAATCATCACAATTTTATGAATAATTTGGCAAAATTTTCTTTCACCAAAATTACCAGCTATAATTGTCTACAAAATTTAATTCAATTAAAACTAAAAACCAATCAGATTATAAGATAATTATTTTTAAAACATGAATGGAAAAGTACAAAAATAGATCTAAGACCATATTGATGTAACAATCAATTCACTATTCACTATTGGTAGTGGTTTGTGTGGTTGTTCTTTTCTCTGTCTATCAATCAATGTCTTCTTTTGATCTTTAAGAATACTCTGCAGAAGAGTAGGAATGATTCCGGCTTTAATCTCAATATATTCAAGTGATGGATGGATGAAGATAGTTTCATATAAATGTTGTACTAGTTCTATCCAATTATGCTGAAATGACTCTTCGTTCATATCACACTTCTCCTTTATTTTTAGTAGTCTCATCATTTTATGTGACTGTAACATGTTAGTAACAGCAGGTAGTACCTGTTCATAAAACAATGGTGCCATTATTTGTTCCTTCTCTTCCTCACTACAGTTCCTGTATGACTGATCTAGTGTGCAGTACACTATAAGTTCTGTGAGATTGTTCTTTTGAGAGATGACATTAATGAAAGTTATTATCTCTTCATTCAGTGGAATAGATACACTTAACTGCTGTAGGCTGGTGTTGTGTCTGAGACCAGTTGATAGAAAAGAACTGGGAATGACATAGTTACGAATGTCAAGGTATTTCAGTGTTTGGTTTTGTGTTAGCATGCCTTGTAGACTGTAATATACCATTACAGCATTAAGAGCTGTAAGTAGGTCTTGCATTAGCATATCAAGGATAAGAGATGAAGAGCTACTTATACCCATACTGCTGCTGTTTTCTTCCTCCAGATCTATCGTGATATGCAGAGCTTCAAGTGTAGCATTGGTTTGTAGAATAGTAAATAGTTCAATAGCACTCTCAGCTGTGTCTAGTGGTAAGGAAAGTGTATGTAGACTGGGATGAGAGAGAAATAGAAGATGTGGTGGATATGGAGTATGTAGTATCAGACAGTGTAATCCTTTGATATGTGGAAGGAGTGATGTCATCAGTTTACTACTCCTCCATCCTCCTATCTCCAGAGCAATCAGTGATGTGCTCACCTCTACTATATTTAGTAAAGATGGCAGGATTTTATCAGATATGTCCAGTGAAAGAGCTTGCAATGTGTTGTTGTCCTTTAGTAACTGCTCTATTACTCCCATAGGTAGGGGAATTGCATCAAGATTATTATCAGGGACATCTAGTTTTAATGATGTTATTGTTTTATTTCTTG